GAGTAGGAAGTGAGAGCCTCGCTCTGTTTCCGTGTTTGGCTTTTGTTTTTGCTTTGAAGCTGACGAGCAAGATAGCTGCGCTGCACTGCAGTGCAGAGAGGGACCGGACACCGAAACCGCGAAACGGGTGCGGGCGGAGCGCGAGATTTTGGGGAGAGGGAGATGATGCGTGCATGGGCAGGGCATTGATTGAAGGATTGCTTGGTATCCGTGCAACTTGGCTTCCGGTTCCCGAGGCCGCTGCATTTGCGCCGCAACCGGACAAGCGGAGATGGATGCTGGAGAACGGCGATCGAGCGACAGTGCTCGTTTCCTCGACTCCTGAGTTCTTTGGGCCTGTTCTTACGCTGTGGGCCTGGAAAAAGACCAAGACTCACCCCGGCCCAGCCCACGTAGTTTTGTTTCCCTAGGGGAAGTGATGACCAGCTATATATGGCCATGTAGCCCGAGCCCGGCGGCCCGGCCCGGCGGCGAGCGGGCCCAGGCTGGCACGGCCCGTAGGAGCAGGCCATGCCTAGGCCTTACCCCAGGCACGTGGGCCGACACGGCACGGCGCTCCTGTACCGCAGGCTCGCTGGCGGCCCGGCCTCCCCCCTCCCCCTCCTCACTCCTCCTCCCCTCCCCATGGCCCACGCGTTCCCCGTCGTCCTCGGCCTCCCTCCCCCCCTCATATATAAGTGGGCACGCCCGCGGCGACTCTCTCTCACGCCTCACCCCGAACCCTAGCGCTGGCGCCGCGGACGCCTCCTCCCCTTCCCTCGCGTCACCTCTCCTCTCTCTCAGCTCGCGTGGCGGCAGCGGCGTGGACGCCGACGCCTCCCTCCCTCCTCTCGGCGAAGCGACGCCATCAAGGGAGCAAGCGCTCCGGCCCCGAGCTCCGCCCCGACGTAGATCCGGTGCCAAGACAAGCTCGCCGGTGGGCAGCGGCCACTGCCATCTCCGGCCTCACGCTGCCTCCTTCCTCGATCCTGCCTCCACCAGATTTGCGATGCTCGTCGTCCTCCTCACCATCCCTCGCCTCCGCGGTGGCGCTGGATCTCCGCCGTGGATCTGGCCACGCTGGGTCTTCTCCACCGTGGATCCGGCTCCCACCCTTGCCTCGACGCTGGCGCGGCGCCTCCTCCCCGTCCCTGCCACCCTCCCTCCCTCACTCTCCCTTGGCGGCGCGCGGTTAGGAGCGCGCGGGTGGGCAGATCCGGTGACTCCTCCCCCTTGTTTTCTCTCCTCTCCATCTCCTCACCCCCTCTTCATCTCCTCCTCTCAATCACTTGAGGGAGGGCGCCGCTTGCGCAGCTCCTGCCCCCGAGATCCGGAGCTCCGTCGCTCCCAGCCCCGATGGCCACCTCCTCCTCGCCTCCCCACGCGGCCGCTCAGTGGGCCTCGGGCTGGCACGACCTGTGAAAATGGTCATGCTTCTCAGGCCGGCCCGGCACGGAAATCGGCCCATAGGGCCGTGCCTGGGCTAAAGGCCAGGCCCGTGGCCCTATGAGGCACAGCCCGAGAGGCACGGCGTGCCATGCCGGCCCGTTGGCTATTGGGTCGTGCTGGCACGGGCCTGGGTCGTGCTGGCATGGGCCCGTGCCGTGCCGGGCCGGGCCGGCCCGTTGGCCATCTATGTGACTGGCATGGGGGCATTTCAGAACAATACCCCGCATTGCAGTGAGATTTTCATTTTCTTACAACTAAAGTTGTTACATCTCCCTCCGTTCCCTTTTACCAAGCATGAGAGTTTTCGGTTACCAAGACGCTCCCAGAAATACGGGCTTCGTATTTACTATCCCCCTTGATTAACACCCGTGCCGCTTTCCCATTAGTTACATGCAGCATACTCCTCCCTCTGTTTTCCCCATAAAATATGGCAGAACGACCATGCATGCTGATGCTCCGTGTTTTGAGTGGGCAGAGTAATGACTGTTCGCTCGATACTCTCGTCCGCGCCTGCTATTTTGGCCAAAAAAAAAACGCTTGCACGCCTGGTAAAAGGAATGGAGGGAGTACACCCTCCGTTTTTTATTAAGTGTCGTATTTGTTTTTTAGAAAAAGTCATAAATATGTGTCGTATTTCGGTCTTAGCCTTTCCTTGGTTGCCTCGTTCCTTCCCCGCAATTAATCCACATGGAGCCATGCATGAAACGCCTTTCGCGCCACGCGCGAGTTCCGGGCGGGGATGCCCGGAGTCTTTGGTTTGGCTGCTAAACTTTAGCCCTTTCTAAATAATTTAGTCTCGTTTAAGTTATTTTAGAGTTGCTAAAGAGGACTAAAACTCATTTAGTCCTATTTAGCTATAGTGTTTGGATAAAAAACGACTAAATAAGATTAGATTTAGGAGCTCTAGTTGAACCTAACACCCCCTTAACTCAGCGATAAACTCCTCCTTGGTCTGTGCACCCATAGCAAATACGATACTTAATAAAAAACGGAGTGAGTATGAGTATGACATAAGCTACCGAAACCGAACAAGCTAATGTAAGAGTCTAATGAAAAACCAATTTCTATATATCAAAGCAGGAAGCTTTGGCCAGCGTTCAGGCCATCCGCGTCACCCGAATTACTTCAGCCGTTGGATTCGTAGATCAACGGTCCTGGTTGCTTCCACCAGCTTCTACAGTGCCCGCCTTGGAATATCTGCTCCCACCGCGTCCGCTGCCTCTCGAAGCCTCCCGTCGTACCGTAAAAAAAAAAGAAACCAAACCCCGTCTCCCTCGACCTCTCCGCGACGCTCGCCGCCCTCTTCCTGCCCTTCCTCTCCCTCTCCCTCTCTCCCGACACGCCAAGGCCCTCCTCCTCCTCCCCTCGCGTCGCCGCATGCCGAGCGGGTCAACGCTGCCGGCTCACCGCGCGAGGCCCTGCCGCAACTGCAGCGCGATGCCACGGCGGTGGCCGGCCCTCCACGCGGCGGCGGCCACACTCCTCCTCCTCCTCCTCCAACACCACCACCACCACGCCGCTTCCTCCTCGCGACGCAAGCTAGCGGGTCGTGCGGCCTAGGGTTTGGCCCCTCCATTGCCGGTTGTCCCCACGGCCGCGCGGGCAGCCAGCTGAGGCCCTGACGCGGCGGACGGCTTTGGCGGCGGAGGGACCTCCGTGCTAGGCGTGGATGACGACGGGGAGGTCACGTCAGCAACCTCGGCTGTGGATCTGAAGCGGTCGCTCGCGGGGCCCCTCCCGGCGGCGGATCTGAAGCTGGACCACGGTGTCGACCTCGCGCCGGCAACGGAGGCGGTGGATCTGCGCCAAGCAGGCGGATGCAGCGCGAGGCCTCCCCGTCTCCACTAGATCCGGCTGCATGGGCTCCACCGTCGCGCTGGACGGTGCCACACGTCCGCGAGCTGGCCTCCGCTGCCCCCAGGTGGCAGCCGTCGTGCACGCCACCCCGACGCTGCTTCGTCGTCCCAGAGTTCGCCTCTCCTCGCGCACGCTGCGCTTATGGGCGACGACGCCCGCTTCTGCCTTGCCATGCCTGGCAGCGCGTGGGCCCCCATGGTCGGCAGCCCCACGGCGGTGGACGTCCTTGGCCACGGAGCGGCAAGATAGCCCCATGCCGGTAGCCGCCGCCGCTGCCTCTTCCCACCGCTTCGCGTGTGCTCCACCAAATGCTTGGATTTCTCTGCTCCCCATTCAATCTATGCAGTGAATCGGTGGAAAAAAAACTCCTTTATTTCCTTTCCTACCTTGCCGGCGCGCGCGAGGGCGCGCGTGATGGACCAGTAAAATATTAGTCCAAGTTACCGGTATATAGCAAGTTAAATTGGCTATTCTATGGGACGCATCGCAACTTACAAATAAGGTTTCCCTTACTACTCGCTATGACTAGATCGAATGGTGGGAGGATATGACGGGCAAATAAATAATATGGCATATGCCTTGTATGTTGATAGATTAAAATACTAACTGTACTTAGTAGAACATGATGTATAACACATAGTGGAACCCTTTGCTGGCCACTCGCCTCACCTCACCGAGCAAGCCAAACCGTTTGGTAGTCCCTCGCCTTACCGTTTGCCTGACAAACTTGCCTTCCTGGGCAAGGAAATCCTTGCCAACACAGCGTAGGCATAGTTGGCTTGCCCGTTCGTGCGTGAGCGTGGATATCTGAGCTGTTGCCGAATCGACCTCTCTTGCCACTGAATCAACGTCATTGTTGACGAATCGGCCTTTCCTACAAGCGAATTGGCTTCCACCGCCGCCAAATCGTCCTTCCCCACCACCAAATCGGCCTCTCCGCTGGTGGTTCAAGGATCCCCAGTTTGCAATCTAGCTTGGCTCGGTTACCAACTATAGATGACTATAGAGAGAATATGAAACAATAGGATGAAACTTTTGTATTTTTTTGAAACTTTTGTATTTTTTTTTTTCTTATCATGCAAAAGGTTTACACGTCTTTGTATTAAGGTAGAAAAAATATTTAATAGTACAACATGCCTTAGCGGCGTCTTAGGTGGTCAGAAGAGTAGTATATGGACGCTCGGACCCTCCCTTGCATTAAGAATAGTTATTTAATCCATACTCTATTCCATTTTTGTTGACGTGGTACTCTTGAAAACAACGTCATGGAGCCGTCCAATAAAGAGAATGCCTTTATGAAAGATAGCAATATAATATATATAATAAAAACTCGACATGCCCCTTCTCATGCAAACTTAGAAAACCCCTTGTTGGCCATGGCCTTATAATATACTTAACATGGTATATGATGTCATTACTCATTTACTACTGTTAGCCTGGTCTACAGAATTTCGTTTGTACTTTGTACTACGTTAACGCATATAAATATACCGTTTGAGGAATTTAGTAAGCCAAACAGGTATAGTAATGCTAAGGTTATCCCTGGTCTACATAATTTCTTTTGTACTACTTTGTATATGTTAACGTATATAAACATAACAGTTCGAGGAATTTAGTAAAACAGCTATGTTAATGCTAGGAAGCATTGCAAAAAGGAAGTGCTGTGATTCTCTTCATTTCACTCTACATGAGGTTGAACCTAACAAAATTCAGCCTTAAAGAATATCCTCCAACTGTTTCAGCCTGGGATCCAACTCGGCAGCATTTTCCTCTACATAATCATCCACCGGAGTCCGGTATGCATCAGCAATCGCCTTTCCTTTATCCAGTACTGCAGATGGCACCGTTTGCAAGAGACTGGAAAACACAAAAAAATGAAGTAAGATGTGAGTGACTATCCCTATTGATTTTGAAATGCAGAAGGGGTTTCCATTTGCTATTACTTGTCTAATGCTGAAAGGGCAACAGTGATCTTGCTCCTCATGGTTTCAACGGACGCTGACGGATCATTCCGTGATGCACGTAGTAGCAGTGAGTCGAGATCTTCCAATGCTCTAGGAAACCACAGGCAACAAATCTCATAACCTCATAAGTTTTGTGCTGCTGCACAGAAGTGCATTCAGGAAAAGCAAATTATGTTTACCGTAAGCACTCGTCCACAGCGTCTGATGCAGCCTTGCCTTGACCATTACTAGAAGCATATTGTGCCACCTACATTTGTTTTGTCACATGGATTCAGTTGGCATAATTCGGAATCAAGAAATTGCACCATGATGAGATATTCTATCCAACTACTGTAGAAGCCTATAGCCTTGGGCATGAAAGATTATGAATGATTAGTGATGTTGACTAACATTCAGCAGAATAGACACTTACTGCCCGAATGCTGACCCGCAAAGATGATGCCGGTCCAGAGCGAAGTAATGATCTGCTCTCGTCATACATTGGTTTCTCAAATTCTAAAGATTTCTCTGCAATGAATCATATACAGGAGAATCTCTCATGGATAGGTTGTATCATATAAAAATAACCACTCAAAAATTGACAAACATATTTAAATAAAAATGACAAAGGCAGAAGCATTGTTTAGTAAAAAGAAATGCACTTCCACTTCTAGTCCTAACAGCAAACAAGAAGGGTCTGTTTGTGTCAAGTTTCAACAGATTATTTGTGCGATGAGAAGCATGCAACTATGCAAGCAGGCAGACGCTATGGACTCCAAATCGAAGTACTAACTAATGGTAATGGGACTCTTATGGATAAATACAGCTCATACTTGCTGATGATGGTGCAAAAGATTACATACTTATTTTGCATCAGCCCAAGGTTGCTGAGGTGCCATATAAGATGATACCGTGGGATACTGATCATCGTACTAGTGAATTACCTAGATCAACGAATTGGTCAATAGTCAGCAGGACAGCCGGAACGTAGCTCTCCAAAGGCTCCAGCTTCTTCCTGACAGTAGCGATAAGGTGTTATGCAAGAGGCGATAAGGACATAAGGTGTTAGGCAGATCAAATGCCACAGCCTGCAGCAATCCAATTCGAAATGTTTTCCGGTGGAGAGAGCAGGACACGGCTTAATTAGTACTCGTACCTCTTGACATACTTGTCCAATGGACTGGCCGCGTCTGCCCCTGCAGCAATTGGTTGGGGCACAGCAAATCAGTCACAGACAGACACGGGCAACGAGTCGATTGTGGATACATAGAACAGCAGTACTTACGGCCGACGGTAGTGGCGAGCCAGGCGGCGACGCCGGCCAGGGAGACGGCGCGGCGGCCGACGCCGTCAGAAGCGGGCGGAGCGGAGGCGGCGGCGATTACTTGGCAGCACCGGCGGCGGCGCGGTCGAGGCGGGGACGGGCAGATGTGAGCCCCGCCGGAGGTGGTGGGCAGGAGCGATGACGACATCTTTGGAGTTGGAGGAGACGGGGCAGCGGCAGGGAAGGGGCACGGGACTGGGTTCTTGTCTCTTGGTGGCAGCTGCCGCTACCGCGCTGCTAGGCGAGTAGGCGATGCTTTGCGGCGGGCAGCGGCCGTGGTCGGCCGGGCCCTTCCGGCCACGCGATGGCACGAGAGCCACTCGTGTCCCGGCGGTGATTTCCTGTGCCAGGACGAGGGCCCGCGCGCGGCGTTGGAGTCAACTGCTCCCCATTCTCAAATTATTTACCATGTTATAAATTTAACTCGATTTATAAAAAATATACAATATTTATATCTTTAAATAAATTTATTAAAAAACTAGATTTAAAGATCTTTTCAATAATATATATACGATAAATATTAATATTTTTTAATATATATTTTGTTAAAATTGTTTATCGGAAAATGAAAATAATAAATATTTTAAGACGGAGGGAGTACGTGGGCTCGTTGTTGGCATTAGCCACGTGAGTTGTGTGGCTGGGCATTATCTTTGCATTGTCTATTTAGAACTCGAGTGATCTGTTCTCTCATTACTTAAGTAATTTGAGGGAACAAATCACACAAATAGAACGAAAATGAAAAGATACTGAGGACCTATGGTCACACGAGTAATCCTAAAGGCCAAATCACCCGGGAAAAAAACAAGCTAAATTCGTGTGAAACAAACATTAATATCACTCAGATTATGCAACACCTACGTCCACCATAAATTGTGACAAAGAAAAATAAGAACAAATAAACATAATCAAAGAAATTATTACAAATACAAAGAAATAAAAAATAATCAAAATACAAAGAACAAAAAATTTCTATGGATTGTAAAAACCAAAATAATCTGAGGACATTGCATGAACCAAACAAATCAAAGAAAATAAACAAAGTACAAAGAACTGAAAATTTCTTATGGAACACGAAAACCCAAAAAATTTCTATGAATTGTAAATTCAAATAAATTCTAAGAGTACTGCTCATGCAAACAAATCAAAATAAAAGTGCATTCAAACTAAACTGGTTCGGGGACAAACATGTACCTAATAAACTTCATTCACTTTGTACTAGTTACATCAATAATACCTTGAAATTACACCTGATCAACCACGGTAATTGTAGTTCAACTCTAGTGTAAGTACAAAATTAATCCATAATAATATGATACTAAATTAATTAAGTGTATTTATCAAGTGGGGCCATTCTTTCTTACTATATAGATTTTTCTACTAAATAAAATCCAGCTGACATGTGGGATAATGATGTGTTTTCCAAAATCCAAGGCGCATTACCTATATACATTTCTATATACCTGTCCGACTGCGTGCCTTCTTGCCTTCATTTTCTGTATATCGTCATGTTCTGCAGCGCACTACTTCAGCGAACGATCGGTGTTTTCTCTCACAAAAAATTAGCATAAACCAAATCAGCATATCTCTGTATGTACGCCTGTCGTCACCATGTTCTTATATCTAGGCCTAAGTAGCACGTGTAGGCATAGTAGCTACATGTACGTGCGTCGTCGGTGCGGCATGACTACGAGACAGACACCACAGATTGAATAAAGATCAAATCCGACGGCCAGAAAATTCATGTGATAGAGCCAAACGTTTCACACAGGCTGAGGATAGCTTTTGTGTGTCTTTTTGTGTTCTATTGCTCTCCCATCAGGACGCAGCACAACCCACCCCTGTCCCCCTTCGTCTCGCCCCATCAGTGCACTCCATCCCTATCTTTGCGCCCGCCGGTCCTTCCCCTGATGGACAGAACCCCTCCTCTCTCCCTGACTTTCAGCACGGGCGACACTCGGGAGTCGGGATGAATGGCTGAGGATGAGCACGCCCCTAGCATGTCCCGACCCGTAGCACCCCAGTCCGCCGGGCCCCCAGCACCCCCGTCCGCACTTTCGCCAACTCGTCCCCGCCGAACAACGTAAAATACTTGCAACATGAATGTAACATAAGACTAAAAACAGATGAAACATGCACTTGCAACATGTGTGTGAAACACATGAAACATCCTAATAAAACACTTGCAACTTACAACATGAAACCACTTGCTGCAACATGAGACTGAAACAGCTGAAACATTTGGAACATATTGTGTGCAACATATGTGTGAAACATATGTAATATTCAGATAAAAACCGATTGCAACATATGTCTGAAAACAGATAAAACATTTTGAACAAACACTTATAACATACCTCTCAAACACTTGCAACATCCCCCGATCTACTTTTGCAACATCAAGATAAAACAATTGCAACATACATCTGAAATGTCTGAAACACTTGAAACATACATGTGCAACATAAGGGAAGGAAGGCTGGGCTGGTCGATTCCGACCGTTGGGGTGGGAGCCGGCGGCGAACCGCGACGCGCGAGCATCACTAGCACCGGCTGCACTCGTGGGTGCTCTTGGCTCGGCCGGGGAAGACATGAGGCGGCACGGCACGTGTGCCCCAGCGGCCATGGTGGGGTCAGCGGCGCGCCCGACGGTAAATGGGGACGGACGGATGGCAAGGGAGTGAGCGGCGCTAGTGACTGAGACGGGCGCGCGGCATGGCCGGCGATTGGGGAAGGGCAAGGCGTGGCCGCCCGACGAGCGCGCGGTGGGGGAAGGGGACGTATGGATGAGCAGCCACGCTGCTTCGGACGCCGGACGGATAAGTAGATGAGGGAGTGAGGATTTGGTTTTTTGTTTCTGAGAGAGATGGGGCCGTCGTGCAGAGCCACGTCCAGACAGGAATCACGGGACGGTCCCTGGTGGATCATTATCGTTTTTTTGGAAATATCGATTATGCTATTTCTATGCTCTCTTCGCATAGTTGCTAGCTTTTCCAGGTTGGAACTTTCAGTTCAGTTTAGATAAACTTGGTTCTGCAAACCATAAAACGTACCTATCACTGTCTGCAAACCATAAAGTTGGTTGGAACTTTCAGTTCAGTTTAGATAAACTTTGTTCTGCAAATTTTCCAGGTTGGAATTTTCAGTTCAGTTTAGATAAACTTGGCGTGTAATAATGACACGACGTCGAGATGATATACTGTTCTCAAGCCCTACTCCTACGCTGATATAAAATGTAGAAATGGACTGCGAACTCGCGCCCATCGTATAAACGTCCAGGCATAAACATGAATCATTCAGGTGTCGAACCGCCTTTACATGTCAGAAGCCCGTGTGATCGCTCGATTATACAGGTGAGGACACCTGCTGCAATCACACCAAGCTGGAAGCATGTGTGGCAAATGACGCCCTGCACACACGCAACTAACAACGCACCAAGTACGTATCTATAGGATTATATATATGTAATGTAATTTAAGAAAAGGTACATATATAGGCAATTCATGTCTGTACTGTCTAGTCTCTACTAGAATAAAAAGGTTGTGGCCTGAATCATCTCCTAGACTAAGCTATGTGCAAGTGCAACAGGTAAATCATCTGCAAAAGGTAAATTCTCTCCCATGCAGCAGGAACCAGATTTTCATTTCTGAAGTAGTATGATCAAACATCGATTAGATTTGCTCAAGCAAGTGGTTTCTGCACCAAGACTAGGTCCTTGAACATCACCAAGGGGTGCGACTCCAGCATTGACTTCTTCTGTCAACAGAAAAACATGTGAGCGATAATACCGTTTGTATTAGCAAAACAAAGAAATCAATTGTAATCACTACTCCAAAAACAAAACATCACTGTCTGCACTATCATTATCGGCAATGAAAATGTACCTATCACTGCTAGTTCGTAGCTACTTGTTGCTTGGTTTGCACGAAAAAGCTCATAATTCTTTTTCATATAAAGTCGGATCAAGACGAATTTTACATCAAAATTGTAGAGTTCAATGAGATGTAAAACTTTGTAGTTGATATTTTTTTTAATTTCATATATCAAATGTTTAATATGAGTTCTCGGATCTGTTGAACAATCTTGAATGGAGACAAAATCAACATCAGAGTATTGAGTTGAGATGGTATGAACACGATGAAAAATATTGAGGTCACAAGTTTGAATCCTAGAACTGCACAATTCTTCCGTTTTATCACCTTTTTTTATCACTTTTTTTTAACGCAGGAGAGCTGTGTTTCATTGTGTTCTGTTTTATCACTGCCGGTTCAAATTGGCATCATTGCTGCCTATTCAAAAACCGATAGTGATAAGTTTTTTTTAGTAAATATTTAATTAGTATTGGTTCAAAAAGTTTATTGAAATTTCATCATTTCATGAACTAGAGGAATATGCGATAGAGTAGGATTACCTCTTCGGCTGATAAAATGGTGAACCCAAGCTTCTCTGACCAGATTTGCGCCATTTCAGGGTCAACAGGCGCCGTAAGAAGGCTTACATTATAGGCTCTCAAATTTGCCTCAATTGACTTTAGGAGAAGTCTGAAGTAGCCCTGCACAAAGAAACTCCAAACAATAAGATCTGTCATAGTAAAAATAGCTGAAATGATTTCACCCATAATTAACAAAACAAGACAAGACTCCCATTATCCCATACGCCGGTAGGTGAAGGGACCCAGGAAGGCAAACGAATGAGATATAAGAATTTAAGAATTAACGTATAGTGGAATGGCACCCAAAATATGCCTATATATACGATTCATATTTGATTAAATATATTCCAATTTATTGTTTGGAGTTGCAACAGAAACTTGTATCAGATAATTATTAGGAGATACTTTTGTCAGCGTCTCATCGACATTCTCTAGTTATGCATCTGACCCTTTTATTTTTTAGAAGGGGGACATGTAGAATAAATCATATTAATTACATGAGATAATCGATAATATCAGCTATGGAGTGTATGATTCAAGTGCATTTCCACCTTTTTTCTGCACTCGCTACGAGTAGCAATAAGGACCAGTTCTGCAACTTGTTCCACACGCACTTTCAGAATCGCAGCAGACACAACATGCGTACTGCAATAAAATCAAAATGGGAAAAAAGTAAGAATACAAATAGTAAAAAAAAGTCATACTAACTCAATTTGAGGATGCTAACAATCAAAGGTTTATATGCGTGCTCTTTTTTGTAAAGTCTGCACGCAGAACCATACAAGTGCAAGGATTGAATGCATAACAGATGCGCCATTATGCAGACTAGAAGAACACAGAATGGCATAATAAAGAAGAGCAGGCCTGGCACGGAAAAGAACCACCTTGCAGTCAACACTACACAATACATTCCTCGAAAATCCTTCTCACCTCCTCCCATTTTTCTGCAACAATGAAGTTTAGATTGTTTCCATACTTCAATTTATCAAAAAAAAGGACTAAAGGTAAGCACAGATCGATCAATAAACCCACTCATACACCACTTAAGAGTTGGCAAAATAAGCAAGAGCATACCCATAAACCATATCCGAGAAGACGTCACTGTGCGCATCAGTAGATTCCACAAATGCATCCTATGAAGTACAGAGATCGAGGTGAGACTATAGCAGACAAGAAGCTATTGACAGGCAGATGCAAAATTTATAAGTGAAAGAACAAATTACTTTGAAGATATGGATGGCTTGAGACATGTAGAGTTTGACATCCCTACTTGCGTCCGCTCTACTTAAAAGCCGCCAACAAATATTGGATCTTATCCGTCTAAGAAAGGCAATCTCTTCACACTTTTCCACACCTTCTAGACGGGCACGAAGTGATTGACATTCTTGGCAGCACAAGAAGCGAAAACATACGAATTCTTTCAGAATTTCCAGAGGCACCTGAAATGTTCAATATAACCATTCAGCTCTATCTTTCACAATGGCAGGCCTTCCTCTTGCCAATATAAGTGAAAAGGTCACAAACCTTCTTTTTTACAACTCTACTATTGTAACATTTCACATGGCATGGTCTCTCGCACTGCAAATAGCAACAATGCATAATTCACAAGCCAGAAATCTATTAAAGGCAATACGTTGGACACACTAAGCATAAAGCAGAACAGACCTGGTTACAGAAGACAATCGTGTTTGGATCGATTTTTCCAAACTCTGTGTGGCCATACCTGACATTATGTACAGATGCAAATTTTCATATAAAGGAGTTCACCTGATCCTGTTAATCTACCGATAAAAAATGCTTAGTATTAGTATCTTACCCACAGAAATAGCAACTCTCTGTTTGGACCACTCTTTCTTGTAAAGTCCGTTTCAGGGGAACAATAGGTCCACTGGTAGTAGAAGGTTCTTTGCCACAACCTGTAATAAAAGGAACCAATTATATTGGCACAGCACAAAGAGACTCCAAATTATTTGCTGAAACATAAAGCTCTACGATCACTCCCTCCTTGCCTCAAGGTAATACAATTAAATCTTAAACCTAAATAACATATTCTTCAAATAAAAGTATATATATGTCACCAAAGAAGCAAAAAAAAAAAGGCCTACTGATTACTGAGGCCAACAAAGTCAGTTCTTGTGACTGAACAGTGTGAAGTCCAAGCATAATTATAATTACTCTGCTCACTTATAAAGATATTGGAAAAATACTGTATCAGCAGAAGGCACATAAACCAAGTGGACTACACGCTTTGAAAACACAAGAACAGAAAATTGAAGGAATCATTAATACATAGTAGATCACCAGTGCATTCATGCAAGTGGGAAAAACAATGATGGTAAGTAACAAATCACAGTTCATAATACAACTTAATAGATTTAGTGACAAGACTATCAAACCAATTATGTAAAAAAACAAAAAGGGGTTTGAAAGCCAGGATAGGAGGCACCGATGATTGCAGAAGAAAAAAGAAACTTCATTTCAACCAAAAAAACTAAACTTTAAATCTCTATACAGATAAAACACCCTCTAAAACAAATGATATACAACAATACGGTATCCATCTCAAGACAGCAGTAGATGACATTGCAAGCTCTTGGCATAGCAAGAATGTTAGCAGTAAAGCAAAAGAATTGAAGAATGATAATAGTAAAGCCACCAAGAATATAAGAGCACTGGCTTGAAAACCACATTGCCATCCTCAGGGTACATATTACACAACACCCATTAAGTTACCTGAAGAAGTAAGGTTTGGGTAGTCACTGAAGCTGGAAACACTAGCATTGCCAACTCCATTTGAATTCAAATTCAAACGATGCAGTTGCAGAGCTATATCATGAAGTGTTACTCCTTCTGATGTATAAATGTTGTGATACCTGAAACATAAATTTTTCACCACACTTAAATGAACTTAAACACCTAAGAACTCTTTTTTTTTCAAGTTTAGATTATTACAAAAAGTTAATTGAATGGCATTTTGAACTTTTAGCTCTTCTAACTTCTAAGTATAATAAAGTTGGCATATGCATAATTTCTTCTAAAAAATGGTGGTGCTTACGGTTGTCGCCTTTCTCCCATGCCAGCATGTTTTTCAAAGGCTGAAGGAGTATACTAGAGTCGGGAGAGAACAACAAAAACATTAGTTTTTGGTCCTTGAGCAGAATAATTACACCCTAAGAAACAAAATTCGTTGATTGCTTATTAGTTTTGCACCTCTTCATTGCAACAATTGCAGACGATAACAGTTCCCTTCTTATACCCTTGCCTTCGAACCTAAAAAAACAGTGAAGCATGAGTCTTCTTAAGAGTGTGCTAAGAATTCAGGTGAATGTGGAAAAGGGACCAGTACAGTCCACGCAAATATCCAGAGCACCTCTCCGTTCTTCAACTTGTAAGTCAACAAAGTATTATCTGGAAGGCCACCCTCCTTGAAAATCAGTGGATGCAAAGTGGTATCCCTGTGTTAAAGCGAAAAGGTAGGTTGTGCATCCTTTCAAAATGCCATGTATAAATGTAAAAGAACACCTTTCACCAGCTTTTGGAGAAAGATTTCCTTTAATAAATGTCACAAAAGATTTAATCTTTTATTACCTCATTTTCAATTCTTTATACTTTGAGTCTATGCTGCAGTTTGGGGGTGGCCCTTGAGCGCTTGTTACTGGACTTGATAAAGAAATAAGCCCTAAATCTGCGGAATCATGTTTTGAGTAGTTAGGGGTTACTGCAGTAGGTATAGGAGAACCAGACTTAACACCATCCATGATGCTGAGATTGAGAGGACCTCCTGCGTTCTGTGTTGCTTCAATGCCTTTCTTCTTCTTTGAGGTGCCAGTAGAGAGGCCAGAATTCCCTTTGTCTGGGCTTCCACTGAAGGTTGTAGTCGAAGTCTCAGTGCCTCCTTGTGGTCTAAACTGTCTCACAGACCGACTTTTGGATGCACCCCAATTAAAGTTTGAGATGCTATTATCGCTGGCAGATTCATTCGAGTAGTCTCCCAAACTGTAAGCCATATCCTCCGCAGCCGACCCCCATGAACTAGAAGTGGGGCTTCGCAATCACATTCACATTCACATTCACAGCAAGGTGAAGTTAGCACGTGGATTGTGGTGGAGCATTATATATTTTGAATATGATAATTTAAATATTACTGATCAGCCCCAATGAAAGCCTAACCCAAATCGATCAGTGGAATGTATCGCTCACCTCAAATTCAAATCAAGCAGAAACAGTCTGGCCTTCTCCTGCTCGTCCTCGGTCAGCATCTCCACGTCTCCCAATGCTGCTGGCGCAGGCGCCCAAGGGGGCTCCGCCGTCACGCCGTCAACCTGAACACCGTTGGGTTCCCATCTCGCGGGCGAGGCTCCGGCGGCGGGCACAGTCATGGGTACCCCGGCAAACTCCAGGAACTTCGCCGCCAACGCCTCGGCGGGCACGTGCCTGAGGTCATGGAAAAGCTGGTAGAGCGACTTGCCGTTGGGCAGGAGGATGTGACCGTTCTGGTTATTCGACTCGGCCCCCGCGTGCTTCTCGAATTGCAGCGCCGACAGCACCTGCATGCGCGTTGCGCGGCGCAGATGGAGAAGAAAAACCCTCAGAATTTCCGCGCAAAGCCACAGAACCGGCGAGGTGTTCCGTAACAGATGGGCATGTGATCGATCGAGCTGACTGACCTTGCCGTGGTAGCCGCAGCCGGCGGAGGCAGGGCAGGCGCAGACGTAGCCGCCGTCGGTGATGAATCCCTCGAGCTTGGCCTGCGCGCAGAACGGAGCAGTTAGAACTAGAGGGCGGCGGCGAGATCCGATGTGCCGGCGGCGGTCACGTCGACGGACTCACATGTTTCGATGCGTGCACGTAGGTGACTGGTACGCGCAACAGGAAGGGCAGTAGATCCTTGACACAAGTAATACTCGTGTTATTCGCGCTCAACGTTATAGTAAGATCCATCTGCTGCCGCTCCATTGATGAAAAAAGATCGGAGCTCTACGACGGCGGAGCAGAGGATAGAAAAGGAGGAGGTTGGTGCTAAGGGACGGCGGGACTGCGGGAGAGAAGGATAGAAAAGAAATCGGCGCCAAGCGGCGGCGGGAGACGCGGCTGAGAAACAAGAACGACGCCGGCGGAATAGGTGAGAGCCGCTACTGCTGTTACGGAAAAACGCCAATCATGGCTGCCAGTCGGACGGGAGCCGTCCGCCGGCAGCCCATGAGCGCATGATAGCCCAGCTGCAGCCCATGTAGAGCGCGGGCCCTTTTCCTTTTTGATGCCCGAATAACATACGAGCGTTTTTCGCATCTTGTAGGTGCTACGGTAGTTGGGTTTCTCTTTTTTTCTTTTTCTTTTTTCTATTTCTTTTTCCTTTTCCTTTTTTCCTTTTCTATTTTTATTTTCTCTGTGTTGTTTTATTCTTCTTTTTATTTTTACTTTATTTCCGTTGTGCATTTTTTCTTTTCTTTTTTTCTTTCCTTCTTTGATTTCTTTTATAATGTGGCCTTTGAATCTTCCTATCACTTTTTTATTCTTATCTTTATTTTATTTATTTTTCTTTTTACCTAATTAGTTATTTTTTATTTCATTTTCTGTGTTTCATTTTTTTTATTTTCTTCTATTTACATTTCTTTTCTCTTTTTATGTTTTAGGTAGATTTTTTCGTTTTGGTTTTCATTTTATGTTAATAAAAATATTATTTAATATTTTTCTAAATATACCAAGTGGACCTTGTTTTAAAGGATTTATCATAAGAAACATAATTGTGCAATCGGAATTTAATTTTAAAATTCAACTTATTTTTTAAACTCTAAAACGTTTTTTGTATGTGATGATGTCATCAAAAGTATTTTAATATTTCTACCACCTCTCTGTTACAGCGGTCGTGCTATAGGCTGACCGTTGATGCGCACGCGATGTTAAGCGGGTCGGCGCCACCTGGCCCATGTGGAGCCCAGCAAGAGGAAAAAAATTATTTTTCTGAGAGGCGAGGGGGTCGGCAGGATTGAAAGGTCCTAATATGGTTAGAGGGGGGTGAATAGCCTATTTAAAAATTTACAAGATCACTAGAGCAATTGATTAGTATGACAAATAACGTAATGCAATTTTACTCTACCTCTACAAGGGTTGCAAGCCACCTATCCCAACAATTCTCGTTACTATGATTACTAGATACACACAAGAGCTAAGTCACTACTCACTAAAAGCTCTCAACAAGGCTACACTAAAGAGCTCTACTAAAGATAAAACTAAACTACAAAGCAAGCTCTCAAAACTAGCTAAACTAAAAAGCTTGCTATAACTAATTTGTAAGAAAGTAATAGAGTGAGTAGGGTGATTATACCATCGCGTCGAGGAATGAACCAATCACAATATGTAGACAATCCAATCACCGGGAGAAATCAAATCACACAAGAGACAAGATTTTTCTCCTGAGGTTCACGTGCTTGCCGGTACGCTAGTCCCCATTGTGTCGACCAACACTTGGGGGTTCGACGGCTAAGAGATGTTGCACGAACCTCGTCCAACAAATAAACATCGCAAGAACCTATCAACAAGTAAGGTATCTCAATGACACGAGCAATTTACTAGAGCTACCTTGTGGCTCTTCGTCGGGAAAGGTGCAAGACCCCTCACAATCACCGAAGCCAGCCATGAACAATCACCAACACATGTTGAAACTCCTCCGCTGCTTCAAGCCATCTAGGTGGCAGCAATCACCAAGAGAAACAAGAAATCCGCAGCCACAACGATCTCCAAGTGCCACTAGATACAATCACTCAAGCAAATGCACTTAGAATCACTCTCAATCTCATTATGATGATGAATCAATGATGTAGATGAGTGGGAGCTATTTGTTTAGGCTCACAAGGATGTCAAGTAAGTCAAAGTGCCAATAGAGTGACTCCCAAGCCGGTACCTTCCTATTTATAGAGCTCAAAAGCTCAAAGAGCAGTTGGGCACTCTCGAGCTGACTGGACTCTGCTGATCGGACGTAGCCCAGCGTCTGGTCGCCTACGTCCGGTCGACAAATGGCTGCCACGTAGCCAAGCTTCAAATGTCGCGCGTCGATATCCAATGGTCAACTAATCAAGCGCTCTAGGGTTAAGTCATGACCGAACTCACAGCTAAAACGACCGGACTCTGGAGCATAGAGAGCATGCAAAGCCGTTTTTAACGACCAGACATGTCGGGTCATGGGTGCCCGGACGCGCCACAGAGTTCGATCCATACTGAGATCGCAAACCCTGCCTACGTCACCGTACGTCATCATCGACCTGACGCGGCCCCTACGCGTCTGATCCGGCCATCCCACCTGTGTTCGATCGCGCGCCAAGAACCGTGCCTTCACTATTGTGCATGACTGGACGTGACCCCACGTTAGGTCCAGCGTCCGATCGCGTCTCCCGCGCCCTCGGCCAAAGCAGCGCCTCCTCGCTATAAATGACCGGACACACCCAGATGAGTCTAGTCACCCCGACGCCAGCGTCCAGTTGCGGACTTTATCTGTCGATGCGGGACCCACAGGATACCCCGCAAGGGAAAGAGAAGATCCAGTTCAACTAGGATTCTTTCCATGTAATCTTAGTAGTAGAACTATTAAGTAATCCTACTAGGAAATCTCATTGTAAACCGACTAGGACTCTAGCCTCCTGACTATATAAAGGAGGGCAGGGCTCCTGAGAGAAGAAGACGACAATTGTACAACATAACACTTCATAATCAATCCAACGCAAAGGCCAACGCCGATCGGACGTAAGTCGTTACTCGATCTACGATCGAGGGCCCAACCAGATAAATCGATCGCTCTCTTGCGTTTACCATCGAAGTTCAAAGATACGCCGAAGCTCGAACATATCTTGCCCTGGTACCCCGTGGCGGGTGCTATCGATGGTGAAACATCGACAATGGCGCGCTGTAGTAGAGCTTTCGGCGACTTTGCATCCGAGAGCTCGATGGACCTCGATAACATGATCTTTCCGACGGGATCGATTTTCATCTTCGGCTCATGGATCTGCGAGGCGAACAACTACGACAGGCTTCAAAGCCATCTCCTCAAAGATCCAGATCATCATGAAGAATTTCCTATTTCGACAACTGTCGGGGATCTAATACCAGGGTACCCCAGAAGGTGGAACCGATGACCACCGAACGTGAAAAACTTCTAGATGCATAAGGGCTCCATGTCATCCCTTGTTCGAGTAACAGGAGTTCGGTTCCGCCTCGCCCGACGCCTTGAGGGCGGGCTCGGTCTCGCCCGAGGGCTGAGGGATGAATTCCGTCTCGCCCGACCCCAGAGGGGCGGGTCACACCACCCGACACCTTTGTAGGATAACCCTGCCTCGCCCCAAAAGCTCAAGGCTAATCTCCGTCTCGCCCGACGCCTATAGGGCGGGCTCGGTCTCGCCCGAGGGCCGAGGGATAAACTCCGCCTCGCCCGACGCCTTGAGGGCGGGCTCGGTCTCGCCCGAGGGCTGAGGGATGGATTCCGTCTCGCCCGACCCCGGAGGGGCGGGGTCAGCCTCACCCGACGGCCCAGAACGAGCCCCGTCCTAATCGATATCTATCCCTCATAATAATGGGTATAGGACGAGACAAGACGTTCGGGTCAACCATGGCTCCAACGACCATACCCTGCGCCCTGGCAGGAAAAGGACTGCCAGGGAACGACAGGACTGAAGCTTTAGACCCTTCCGGGCACCGCAGAGCCCAAAAGGTATTACAAAAGTGCACCCCACCTCAGAGTTGTAGGCGCCCTTTCACTCTGGGACACGGAACCCGCGAAGATATCGACAACCGCTACGCTCAGAAAGGATTTGCTATCTCCACGAACGATGGGTATTCCGTCACCACACGGTGGACCCGAGGAGCGGCGCCCGCTTCCCGACCCCTCGTGTCCTCCCAAATAAAGGCCTTGACCACGGCGTTACACCGACCCCACCCAAGATTCTCCCAACGAGGACTCATGAGAACCTGAAGGCGTGCGGAGCAAGGCCGGGGGAGCATAAGTCGAAACCACCACTACTATACACCCCAAACCTACGCAGGGGAAGATTCTTGTGACTAACCTGACATCCTACAGAGACATCGACAACATTGTAAACACTTATCTTCCTTCGCACTCATCGAGTGGAGGACCCGACCAGGGTAGACGTGAGCCACAAGACTAAGTAGAGTACGCGTCCTGGAGCCCTTACCCTTGTAAAGCCGGCCCCTTCGTCTATAAAAGGGGATGCGCTTCTTCCATCAAGGGGAACGGAAGAAAAAGGAGGAGAAAACACGCACTCACACACATTCAAGCAGCGACAAAGCTCTTGACCACCTTTCAATCCTTCGATCAGAGACTTGGGACCAGTCCCTCTCTCGGCAGTTTGTATCCCTTAGTACATATCGTTACGGTGCTAATAACACAAGCAGCAACAAACTAGACGTAGGGACGTTTACCAACCAAGATAAATCTCTGTGTCCTTTAGCGCACCATCCGAGCCTAACGCACATTACTATAAATTCACTTGCCGGTGCTTGTACGAAACACCGGCAGGTTGGCGCGCCAGTAGGGGCTTTATGCTGCTCCAAACCAGTCTCTTGGATGACCACCCACGCAATCACACTGGGCCCCGGCGCACACGCATGCGTTTGGCGACTGGATTTCATCATCACACTAGAAGGAGAACTGCATCGACTCACTCACCGCCCCCATCTCCCCTTCCATCAACCTCACCGTCTCGTGCTTGAGGGTCCACCGCAACTCCCCGGGAGTCCCACCACCCAAAGAAGCCTCTCACAACGCCACCATGTGTCCGGAAGGGTCCGTATGGAGCGCCCGACAGCGCTTCCGCTCGGTCTCCGCAAACGCTATGCGGCAACCACCGGCCGTCTTCCGGCGCTTACGGGTGGTTCAACCATCCACGGACATCGAGTTCGTGGGGGCGATTGAGTGGGATACGGAGACCTTCTCACGAGCTCCTCAACGA